TCTTCCCAGACTGGGGCACGAACCTGTGTCCCCTGCATTGGCAGGCGGACTCTCACCCACTGCGCCACCAGGGAAGCCCAGCCTTGCTCTTTAATTGCTGTAGATTGTTCAAGTGATTGTTTTCCATTGTAGCCATTGAAACAGCTTTCCTATTGCAGTAACCTAAACCTTGACCCTTGAAGCCGGTGGGAGTAACATCCAGTCTGAGGGCGTTAGTGAGTTGAGTCCTGCCAGGGGTTCCACAGGTATCTTTAAAGTAAAAAAGAAGGAAAGGAAATACACTTCAATTGACCCTATAGATTATTAATCCATTTGAGTGAAGTGGTTATTTCCCTTTGTCACATTGCATTGTTATTAAACTAAATAGTAAACTGTTTAATCTGATGTTTGCAAAAGGTACGAGTGGCTGCCTTACAGAATCTGGTGAAGATAATGTCCTTATATTATCAGTACATGGAGACATATATGGGTCCTGCTCTTTTTGCAGTAAGTATTTTTATTTTATGTAGTTGAGCATAGAGCTGATTGCAAAAGTCCATTATTCTTAGTTGATGTTTCGTCAGTTCTGTAATTATTTAATATTGTGAAATCAAGGAAATTCCCTGAGTCTGCGTATTAGATTTAAGTTCATCAGCAGTGTGCCAAGAAAACTTGTGCTACCTTTGTACTAATAAGAAGAGTATATTTTAAAAATCGTTCTTTTTCCTACCTTTCATTTAAGACCTAGCTTTCATAAATCTACATTTTTGAAACTTGAGTATCTGTGGTTATAGGAGGGGTCGAACTTGAACCAGCATTTATTTGGGGCCTGGGGTGTCGTGTTTTCTCTCTTAAGATCACAATTGAAGCAATGAAAAGTGACATTGATGAGGTGGCCCTACAAGGGATAGAATTCTGGTCCAATGTCTGTGATGAGGAAATGGACTTGGCCATTGAAGCTTCAGAGGTGAGCCTGGGAGAGTCCATGTGGTGGGAGAGCTGTTATTCTGACTGGGCTTTGGGACTTAGCTCTTTTGTGGATATTATTTTTCCTCTGGGAGAGCTTTATTATGACCGGGCTTAGAGGGTATCTCCATTTGTAGAGATTTGGGGTTTTCTGCTAGCCAAAGGCCCTCATGAGGGAGACAGATCAGGAATGAAGCATCTCCTGTTTTTACCAGTCAGGATTTGAAAATACTAGTACTGTGAACACAAGGGGGCAGCAGGAAGTCACATTTTAACCAGGTGACATCTGATGCTGAATTATTTTCTTTTGGAAGGCCTAATGCAAGCATGGGAGGTATAATTGATAGCTTACTAACTGGTGAAGGTATTAGATACGGAGAAAGGGGTTAATTCTGCATTCGCAAATTCGAATTCAAGCTTTGTTTCCACCCTTGATTGTCTTTATGTCCTACAAAAAGCACAGTCTTTGGCATCTTTATGTAAACTTCATACATCTCTTCATCCAGAGGTCACTTAGTGAAAAAAGAATATAATTCTTAAGATTGCCTTGGTCCTTTAAGGTAGATTATATGTATGGCCCAAAAGAATCTCATTGAAGTAGCCCAGAAATGAGCACCTCCAAAAACCACACACACTGCATGTTACCATGTGCTCCATGTATTTCTGTACAGACCTGTGGGCAGCTCTCACTGTATGCCTTTAGTATCATAGCTTGTTTGCTGCTGTCCAGAATTTGCTTTATGTTTCTCCTCAGGCAGCAGAACAAGGACGGCCCCCAGAGCACACCAGCAAGTTTTATGCCAAGGGAGCACTACAGTACCTGGTTCCAATCCTCACACAGACACTAACTAAACAGGTGAGTTACCTTCCAGATCTAGCCAGATGAGCTGTGAAGCCTTGTTAACGGTTGGTTTGCTGTGGAACAGTTGCCACAAAGGAACTCAGCAACTCTTGGACTAGTTGATGTTCTGTTATAGATGCCTTGGGAAGAGCTGAGCTGGATCTGTAAGATCCTCTAGGCTCTGAGTAGTTTTTGATCAGCCTGACAAAATAACTGTAGCAAGACTTCATGAGGGATGTGGGTTTAATGAGTAAGTAGAGAAATTATCTTTTAAGAAGTGTATCTTGGTTGCCATTGTTCCCTTTTGGCCTCATGCATCACAGTTTTTCTTGGTATGGTGTTTGGAAAGATTCTGTCACCTCATCTCTTCTGGTGCATGTGAAATATTATCAAAGAGCTGGCAGCGCTTTGAGGAAACAGCGCTGTAACTTTGAGCACTGCAAAATTTCTTCGTACACAGGAATGTAATTTGTTTTTAGGGAAGTACATGACTCTTAATAGAGCAATCTTGAAAGATGAATAGAGATACACTTAGTTTGAAATGGACTGGGTGTTCTCTTAAATTTTCATCTCATCTTTTAGTTTTACAGTTGTTATTTTTCTATCTTTGACCTTAGTATTTTCACTTTTGTATATTTTTGTTGTGCTTTTCTCATTTTGGGAACAAATCATTCTTTAGATATATAATTTTCTGAAGTTGCATAAGCAGCCTGCCTTAAATTACTCTGGTGTGAACAGCCACAATAAGAAGGATATACCTTGAATTCTAGTTTCAAGGGAGATCTGAATGGAATCTTTTTTAACTTTTTATTGAAATAATAATTAACTAGCACACCAGAACCACACTCCCCACCCCCATCCCCCCAGTGTCTTCCTCCTGGTCATTAACTCCTCCCTCACCTTTAACTGCATAGATTTTGACTGATTTTGAACTTTATATAACTAGAATCAAGTAGCATATATTCTTTTGTTCTCCTTTTTACTTTACGTGTTCAGGATTCATCCTTATTGCATGTAGTTGGAGTTTGTTCATCTCATTGTATAGTGCTAAGAAGTATCTTCCCTCTATCTACATCTTGTTTAACAAACGCTGTGCTGTGATGAATCTTTGTGGAAGGGATAAAGATATGAAGGTTTTATATTTTATTTACTTCCCCAAAGCTTAAGTTGTAATGATTTTTGAGAGTAGTCAGAGGACCTTTTGAGTTAAAGTGATTCTTTGAACAAAAACTCAATTAGTGCCACATTCTTTCACTAGGATGAAAATGATGATGACGACGACTGGAACCCCTGCAAAGCAGCTGGGGTGTGCCTCATGCTCCTGGCCACCTGCTGTGAAGATGACATTGTCCCGCATGTCCTCCCCTTCATCAAAGAACACATCAAGAACCCTGATTGGCGGTACCGGGACGCAGCAGTGATGGCTTTCGGCTGTATCTTGGAAGGACCAGAGCCCAATCAGCTCAAACCACTAGTTATACAGGTGAAGCTGAGGGAGTTTGTGGGTGGAAAGTGGGATATTTATTGTTTATTTAAACTTTCTGCTTGAAGATTTGCCTTTATTTTTTTATTTTTTTGCGGTACGCCGGCCTCTCACTGTTGTGGCGTCTCCCGTTGCAGAGCACAGGCTCCGGACGTGCAGGCTCAGTGGCCATGGCTCACGGGCCCAGCCGCTCTGCGGCACGTGGGATCTTCCCAGACCGGTGCACGAACCCGTGTCCCCTGCATCGGCAGGCAGACTCCCAACCACTGCGCCACCAGGGAAGCCCTTGCCTTTATTTTAAAAACAAAGCTGTAAATAGTCATCCACAAAGATTACTTGTGGATAGCTGTTTGCTGTCAGTGAGGCATAAAATATATTTCTTTTTTTATTACAAAAATCATATGACTTGAAAAATGCAGAAAAGGCCAAAAAGAAAAAGCTACCTTTAATCCCATTGCCCAGTGATAACAGTGTGCATGTATGTGCAACAGGATGGAGATCTTACTGTACAAATAGGGTTTTTGTTTTTTGTTTTTTGTTTTTTTTGTGGTACGGGGGCCTCTCACTGTTGTGGCCTCTCCCATTGTGGAGCACAGGCTCCGACGCACAGGCTCAGCAGCCATGGCTCACAGGCCCAGCCGCTCCGCGGCATGTGGGATCTTCCCAGCCTGGGGCACGAATCCACGTCCGCTGCACCGGCAGGCGGACTCTCAACCACTGTGCCACCAGGGAAGCCCTACAAATAGTTTTAAAACTTGTTTTTTCACTAAATGCTATATCATAAACAATTCTCCATTTTTTTTCTTTTAATAAATTTATTTTTGGCTGCATTGGGTCTTCGTTGCTACGCATGGGCTTTCTCTAGTTGTGGCGAGCAGGGGCTACTCTTTGTTGTGGTGCGCGGGCTTCTCATTGCTGTGGCTTCTCCTGTTGTGGTGCATGGGATCTAGGCACGCAGGCTTCAGTAGTTGTGGCGCATGGGCTTAGTTGCTCTGCGACATGTGGGATCTTCCCAGACCAGGGATCGAACCCGTGTCCCCTACATTGGAAGGCAGATTCTCAACCACTGCACCACCAGGGAAGCCCAAGAGTACATTTTAATTGAGCTTAGTGTATATAGACCTCAGCCTTTCAGGAATAGCTAAATGCCATCACAGCTGCATCCTGGGATCCTCTGCCTGAGTAATTCAATACAGATGGCTGAAAGTATTCATACCGAACTCTTAATAAAACTGTGTACTGGGATTTGGTGAAGAGAGGAGGACTTTTTCACTTTTCCAGTTACTTTTATTATATTGTTGGATATTTGATAAGCATGTCTTATAAAATGACAAAACCATCTTGATACTTTGAGTTAAATTCCAAACATGAGTATTTCTTCTTCTGAGGTGTCAGTCAGCATGAACTTTAATCTTTGTTTTGCTTTGCCAATAACTGTTGTATTTTCAGGCTATGCCCACCTTAATAGAATTAATGAAAGACCCCAGTGTAGTTGTTCGAGACACAACTGCATGGACTGTGGGCAGAATCTGTGAACTGCTTCCCGAAGCTGCCATCAATGATGTCTACTTGACTCCCCTGCTGCAGTGTCTGATTGAGGGCCTCAGTGCTGAACCCAGAGTGGCTTCAAATGTGTGCTGGGTGAGGGATTTTCTTCCTGGTGAGATAAGGAGGTTGGCCAAGCCATTGGCAAGGAAGTAGGAGGTGTGGGGGAGAAATGGGTCTACCTCACTAGAAGGCTTTTTCGGAATAGCATCTCCTTTCTAATTTCTTCAATTAAAATGTGGGGGAGATGTGAGCTGCATGACCCAGTGGGAGCTGTTGTCTCATGGTGACTGGTTCCCTAGCCATTTAGAAGAGTCATGTTAAGCCAGCGGGAAAACTATCTGGACTTGGTTTTTTTTCTTCAGTTGCTTGGGGACAAGAAGTTTTGATAAAAGGTAGAGAGTTGCTGGCCATGAAAAGTAACCATTGCTGAGAAGGGGGTATGAGGGAAGGAAGGTAGGCAGCTCAGTGTTGAGTCAGTATAGGCTGAATGTAGTTTGTTAGGGACCTTTGGGGTTTGGGGGAGGAAGGTAAAATAAGGAAGGAGTGGGACAAAGAGGCTTTCTGTGAATGGAAAGAGAAGAAATGAAGTGGCAGGCATTCGTGTAGGTGAAAATACTCTGCTGCTTAGAGAGTTGTGTGTAGATTATTAGGCAGCAGAAACAAAATATAAAGAAACATACATACATTTATTTAATTTTAAGGATAATTGTACATGTTAAGTTGTCTTGAGATGACCTTGATAGGAAGAATTGAGGTTTCACTGCCATTGGTTTATTCTTAGATCAGTTGGAAAGGAACTCTGGCCAAGGTATCTTAAGGGAAAATGAGGTAATCCTGGAGTGGGATTCTTTTGAAGTTTAATTAATATTTACTCTGTCTGGGTTTAAGGCTTTCTCCAGTCTGGCTGAAGCTGCTTATGAAGCTGCAGATGTAGCTGATGATCAGGAAGAACCAGCTACCTATTGCTTATCTTCTTCTTTTGAACTCATAGTTCAGAAGCTCTTGGAGACCACAGACAGGTAACTGATACTACACAGAAATGAGTGAAATGAGTGGTGTCTTTGCATCCAACTCCTTTTGCCTCTTGTGTAGGGACTGTTTAACCTAATCATAGAAACATTGCAATAGGAGAAATTAAAAGAATCCTATTCTAGGTTGTTTAAATAAGAGTGAGAAAAGAAATGTAGACTTTCGACTACCTTAGAATTGTACAGTTTATAACTAAAGTCAGAAAATAGTCTGATTTCTCTACAGGTAGAGAGTAATTGACTTAGAGAGGTGCCTTCATTTTGCAGTGTCTACAGTTAATAGGAGTATTTGATTATGGTATAAGAGAAATAGTAGCTCTCATTATGAATTTAGTTGCCATACCAGATTACTAACCACCATTTATGATATTGGGTGAGGAACTTGGCATTAAATACAGTTGTTTTATAAATGAGCTTTGGAAATGTAGTTTGAAGGGGTTATAAGTTGGGGACAACCTTTAATTATTGTGATTTTGTGTAAGCTATACCTAAAGCCATGCTCAAAAGAAACCATTAGGAAGAGGGCTGGGTATCAATTCTTCATGCTTAACTAGTTCATTTCTTCATCTTGCAGATGAATGAAGAAAATTGATATGTCCTTTTTTTTTTCTGACCGCACCACGTGGCTTATGGGATCTTAGTTTCCCGACCAGGGGTTGAACCCCAGGTCCTTGGCAGTGAGAGTGCAGAGTCCTAACCGCTGGGCCGCCAGGGAATTCCCAAGTTGTCTTTTTCATAGCTATTTGTGCAACCTCTTCAATTGTCCACATGGGTTCTTCAGCATTTTTAACTATTTTTCCTACAATTTTAGCCCATTTCCAAAAGGGCCATTCTAAAGTTTAAACAGGTCTGGAAACCATATTGCACGTAGTCATTGGCTCAGAGATTGAACATTTAGTTCCAGGCTGTATTGTGTTTGCCAAACTCAGATCAAATCTGCAACCATATCGGTTTCTGGGTTATTTTCAGTGAGAGAGTTTGTATATTATAATGATTTCTCTGTCCTTTCTCAGTTAACGCTTTACGATTTTTGCTGTGTGTTCCTTACAGACCTGATGGACACCAGAACAACCTTAGGAGTTCTGCATATGAATCTCTAATGGAAATTGTGAAAAACAGTGCCAAGGATTGTTACCCTGCAGTTCAGAAAACGACTCTAGTCATCATGGAACGACTACAGCAGGTGCTGCAGATGGAGGTGAGACTGAGGGCGTTCCTGGTTCCTGGTGGGAAGGGTGTGGTACTTAACACAGAGCTCTAGTTTCAAGACTGTTCTCTTTTTTTCAGTGCTTAAGCATATATGTACTCAGAAAGATATAAGGCTTATACAAAAAATGTTGCAACTTAAAATTGTATTGCTTGCTACAGTTTATTTATACATGTGTAACACCATATACGTATATAAGCTTATTTACTTTCCTGCATTAGCACCAGTAAAGATTATTTAGTGGTCCTGGCAAACCCAGCAAAAATGGAAGCATTGAGGGAGTTTAAAGCCCTTTCAGAAGGTGTTTATTCAGAACATGATCTTCTTTTTCTTGTAGTCACATATCCAGAGTACATCGGATAGGATCCAGTTCAATGACCTTCAGTCTTTACTCTGCGCAACTCTTCAGGTATGATGGTGCCTTATCATTTAATAGCTCCAGGGAAGAGAATCATATCTCAGGATGACAAGTTCATGTACACACAGAACTCTGAAGATGATGTTATAGATGATGATGGTCAGAAGCTCTTCTCAAAAGGCCTTAGTCTGATTGATTAGGAGAGTAATTTCCCATTTTCCTTTCTTGTCTGTCCATAAAAATGCGATTTGTCTTTTGTACAATGTAAGGAAGGAAACTACTAAATTTGTGATGGTCCTCCCAGCTGTGCAGCTATTTTGTATTAGCAACTTTCAGTCTGGTTTTCATTGGGTTGTCCAAGTGTAGCCCAGTCAGATTTGGTTCCCAGCTATGGTTCACTGAGCTAAAAATACAACCTTGTGTTTTTACCATCATCTTTTGAAACAATTGCTGTTGGAAACTTTATTATAATTTATTTATAGTATTTGGTGTTCACAGTACACTTTTTCTGAGGAGAGACTGGGAAAATTAAACTGTTAACTCCTTGCTCGTGACTGGAGTCATGGCGTGGCTGAGGAGCTATTCCCTTTTTTATCCAAGAACAGGAAAACCTTGGGACTTGTCTAGTGCTTAGGTGGGTACTAGGTTTTAGAATTGAGTGATGCTGACTAGGTCATCTTACCTATGACTCCCTTCTCTTTTTTACTCCAAACTTAATTTTTTAAAACATGACTGTTAAGAGGTCTTTCCTGATCCAGTAACATTAGTTGAAACAAATTAAAGGGTAGGGAGGGAGGTTTGAGGAATATTGAATTGGGAAAAGTCAGATGGGTTTGTTTATCAAGACAGTTTCTTGACCATCATCTGTAAATGGGTTAGGCTAAAGAAGGGGTTGCTCTTTTGTTTTATGAGTAAGAACTCTAATATGACATGTCTCTATTCAAAGCTGAAATAATTTAACTGCCATTTCAGTACAACTAGATTATGGAGGCTGCTGACAAGGATTTGTCAGACTTGAATAAATTCAACACAGAGGATATGACTTTTTGCACTATGGAAGATCATCTTGTATTTGTCCTGAATTGGGAAATAGATGAGATATTTAAATGTATGTTTCATTGTAGATGATTTGCACTGTCAAAACTTCTGAGCATAAAAAGCCTCCCCCCCCCCCCCCCCCGCCAAAAAAGAAAAAGAATCCTACAGACTTAATTGATTTAAAAAAGAAAAAGTATGGTGTTCTGATTGAAGGGTTTGGAATCAACAGATTCTGAACTCTTATTCATTTCACAGAATGTTCTCCGGAAAGTGCAACATCAAGATGCTTTGCAGATCTCTGATGTGGTCATGGCTTCCCTGTTAAGGATGTTCCAAAGCACAGCTGGGTCTGGGGGAGTGCAAGAGGATGCCCTAATGGCAGTTAGCACACTGGTGGAAGGTCAGTGAGCCAAAATTGGGCAGGGAATTTCTTGAGAATGCAAGAGTATCAATGGCCATGAAGAATTTTTGACTGCAAAAAAGCATAGTCCCATCTTCTCACTTATTGGGGTATTGAGTCAGTTCAGAGCTGGATTGAACATAAGTGTAAATTTGTGTATAACTGCCTTGCCACTCTCCTTGGAATGAATGGGGAGCCAATTTGCAACTCAGATTGGCAACCTTTCTGGGGTGGAGGGAACTGTTACCTACCTCATATTCATCAGGTTCTTCTTTCCCCTAAAGTCTACTTCCTTTATTGAGGTTTGGCTCCTGTAAAGGATGGAGGAAGTAAAGGTTTCTATTTTCTTTCCTGGCACTTGGTACCTTCTGGTTTGGGTTGTAATGCTTTGGATTCAGGTTGACGCAATATGGTGCCTGGTGTGGAATGGAATGAAACATTGAGTTCTAGGAATTAATTGATTTTTCTGGGTGTTACATGTCTAACTATGCAGAATTGCTTTGGGGAAGCCATATCTGACTTAAGGCTCTTCGAAAGGCCATTAAAAGCACATTAAGGAGGCTTCCCTGGTGGCGCAGTGGTTGGGAGTCCGCCTGCCAGTGCAGGGGATACGGGTTCGTGCCCCAGTCTGGGAGGATCCCACATGCCGCGGAGCGGCTGGGCCTGTGAGCCATGGCCACTGAGCCTGCGCGTCCGGAGCCTGTGCTCCGCAATGGGAGAGGCCACGGCAGTGAGAGGCCCGTGTACCAAAAAAATTAAGGAGCACTTTAGAAACCTGGAATGCTTCTTCAGTGGTGGTCTGTAAGGTGTACTTTTTTTTTTTTTAAGAATTATTAACTATTTATTTATTTATTTTATTGGCTCCGTTGGGTCTTCGTTGATGCACGTGGGCCCCTCCCCAGCTGCGGCAAGCGGGGGCCACTCCTCGCCGCGGCGCGGGCTTCCCACTGCAATGGCCTCTCCTGCTGCAGAGCACAGGCTCTGCAGTGAGGCGCGTAGGCCCAGCAGCTGTGGTGCACGGGCCCAGCCACTCCACGGCATGCGGGATCCTCTCGGACCAGGGCCCAAACCCATGCCCTCCACACTGGCAGGCAGATTCCCAACCACTGCGCCACCAGGGAAGCCCTGTAAGGTGTATTATTAAGGCAGACCCGTTTCTAGCATAAGGAGCCTATGTGCAACTGGTCTGGCAACATGTGATTACCCTGGCAGAGCACAGAAGTTGATTTTGGTTCCTGGAGTGGCTGATTTGGATATGAAACCCAGACAGCTTTTCTTGACTGGCTTATTAAGTAAGTCCTTGATGGAATTGGCTAGAGACCAAGCTGGCTTCCAGGAGTTCCCTGGTGGTCTAGTGGTTAGAGTTCGGCACTTTCACTGCTGTGGCCCAGGTTCAATCCCTGGTTGGAACTGAGATCCCACAAGCCACCCAGCGAGGCCAAAAAGATAGCTGGCTTCCAAAGAGGACATGTTATAATCAGATGAAGAGGTGGACAAGAGGCAATATCACTAGCTCAGGCAGTTCATAATTAACCTTGACATTCCTTGAGGGCCATATACCACTTGGTAGTTTCAGCCGGAGTGAAATCCGACTCTGTGGAGTTTTGGCATTATCTCCAGGGTATAAGAGTTAGGCCCTTTTAGCAGTTATGAATTTGGCTTGTCCAAGGCAGCCCTAAGTCTTTGTGATAGAATCTGTAATTAACTCACTTTCTACCTAACTTTTGACTGGCGTGCATACATTTTGGGAGAGCTAGGATGGTTATTTTTGTTCACTTCTGTGATATCCTGTGGTGCTAATAGTTTGTTTCTTTACAGTGTTGGGTGGTGAGTTTTTAAAGTACATGGAGGCCTTTAAACCCTTCCTGGGCATTGGATTGAAAAATTATGCTGAGTACCAGGTAAGCTGTGCTTTTCACAATAATACATTTATATTCTCATTTATACTTGGTAGTCATTGTAGTACAAAAGCCTGGATCCTGTAGCCCAGGTAGTATTTCCCTGTGTATCACCCCAAGGGTTGAGCTACTTTGTTGCCCTGAGTGTCTGAACTAGAAATAGTCAGTGAAGGACAGGATATTAGACACATCAGAGTAGCACCCTAAGAAGGGGTTTTGTTTTGTTTTGTTTTGTTTTCAGTAAACCGTCTGCCTCTGCCACCACCATCCCTGGTGAATATTGTCTTTTCTGTCCTTTCTTAATGATAGATTAGATAGTCCTAGTTCTCTTTCTGCCATATTGGTTGTTAAAAAATGAAATAATCTGAGAGAGGAAGGGTCTTTTTTTCTTTGACTATAGGTTCAAGTGATAAAGGACCAGTAGCTAGGTAAAAAATCATGCCTTACCCCTGCAGGCAGCCTTTTCTGTTCTAGAGGTCATTTTCTTGATGCTTGGCAGGTTTGTTTGGCAGCTGTGGGCTTAGTGGGAGACTTATGCCGTGCCCTGCAATCCAACATCTTACCTTTCTGTGATGAGGTGATGCAGCTCTTACTGGAGAACTTGGGGGTGAGTGTCTACACACAATCTAATTTACCATTGGTTAGAAAGATGGTTAAACATCAAGATCCCTGACAGGGAATGTATATGTCCCAGAATGTTGGCTGTGGACTTATGAAGGGAATTGTTCATTTTCACAAGATGATTCTAACCTAAGGATGTGAAGTTAATTAAAGGAATGCATGGTCAATGCATGGAACTTGAGTGGGGCAGGTGGGGACCAGTAAAGTACAAAGGAAAAGTAAATACATAATCTTTCTATCTAGAGGTAAGCATTGCTAATTTTTGTGTATGTCCCTTAAGGTCTATACCAAACATATCAGTAGTTGCTTATTTTAAAAAGCTTTTTGAATCTTTGGACAGAACTAAATTTTTTTTTTTCTCCTTGTCAGAATGAAAATGTCCACAGGTCTGTGAAGCCACAGATTCTGTCAGTGTTTGGTGATATTGCCCTTGCTATTGGTGGAGAGTTTAAAAAATATCTAGAGGTTGTACTGAATACTCTTCAGCAGGCCTCCCAAGCCCAGGTGGACAAGGTAAGTTTAAAGCTATCTTTAAGTCCAGCCCTGACCGGAGGAGCAGGACTTTTGACAAATATACAACTAAAGGCCATCGATATGATGGAGATTCTGTTCTTTTTCTCTTACAGTCAGACTATGACATGGTGGATTATCTGAATGAGCTAAGGGAAGGCTGCTTGGAAGCCTATACTGGAATTGTCCAGGGATTGAAGGGAGACCAGGAGAACGTACACCGTTGAGTATACAACCCAGTTGACTTAGTCCAGTGTGCACTTAGCCAAATGGGCTGTGTGTTCATTGTGTAGTTTACTTGTAAACTAATACCTATTGCTTAAAAGAAGAGGAGAAGGAGGAACAGTGCTCTAATGAAGGCAGTAGCTTTGAGGGAGGATATAGACTATTATTTCTGATCCCTGCTTTTTCAGCTACCTTGCTTCACATTTCTTGAGCATTGCAAGGGATGGGATCCAGCAAGGCTGTTGCTGCTGGTTGCATATGTACCAACACTGAGTGGGAGTTCCCTAACCCCCACCATGCATCTGAATTGAAGGATTGGGGGGATTAGATTTCCTCTGTCAACTGATGTTTTTGTTATTGATTGGGGAAGTATCTGTACTTCACTCCTTTGATATTACAGGCTTAGAGGAAAGGTTCCATTGGTGCTTGTACAGATATATATATCTGCTTATAAGAAGAGGAGTATCTGCCTCTTCTGTTGACTTGAAGAACGACATCTTAACCTGAGGAGGAACAGTTTGGTATAACTGTATGCAACTAGTTCTCCAGCCCAAAACCTGCCTGATGGGAGTAGAGTATTTGGGAATTTTGAAACAGGGTATAAACAGGGTATAGTCCGGCCAAATGTGGGACAACCTCATCAGACCTCTTTCTTTTATAGCGGATGTGATGCTGGTACAACCCAGAGTAGAATTTATTCTGTCTTTCATTGACCACATTGCTGGAGATGAGGATCATACAGATGGAGTAGTAGCTTGTGCTGCTGGACTGATCGGGTAGGTTATACCCTGCTTCTGATAGCTGAATAGAACGTGTCACGGAAAATGAGAAGACGTGTAGTAAAGAACATTTGAGAGTAGCCTGGATGGTAATTACCCACCTTTTTGGTACAGAGGGAATTTCTTTCTTTAATAGAACCCATCATGTCCTGTTTTGAGTTCTCAGATAATAATTCATTCCAGAATTTAGCTCTAATCTCATTTCAGACCCTCCAGATTTCTAATTTCTCCCCACCAAACTCTTATGAAGTGAGCTCTCAGAGGTATAGAAGCAGCATCAGATCTATGTCCATCCCATATTCTGATGTTGGTCAACAAATTGCCTCTGTTTAGCCTCCTCTACTGAGGGTTTCTGAGGTATCATTAGAAGAAAGAACATTGGTTTTGAGCAGCTCAAAGACCTGGAGTCTAGTTCTGATTTTACCATGAATTAGCTGTGGAACCTTGGGTAAGTTATTCTACTTTTTTAGACCTCATTTTTTTAATCTGTTGAGGGCAGGTGTTAGACTTACTTGTCTTTAAAATTTCTTCCAGCTTTAAAAAGTAGGTAAATACCAAGAAACCTATTAGCTAGCTTAGCACTGGTTCGGAAGGTTCTAAATATGCTCTTGTTGTAGGGCCAGGAGCCCATTTTCAGGTGTGTTTACTTTGCACAGGGACTTGTGTACAGCATTTGGGAAGGATGTACTGAAATTAGTAGAAGCTAGGCCAATGATCCATGAACTGTTAACTGAAGGACGGAGATCGAAGACTAACAAAGCAAAAACCCTTGCTACATGGGCAACAAAAGAACTGAGGAAACTGAAGAACCAAGCTTGGTAAGAGCTTGTCTCCACTGCCCTTTTTCTTCTTCTTTCTTGGGGAGGAGGTACATTTTCTTTAGACTGTTCTGACAAGGGCTTTCTTTAGGTGTTTTGTTTTGTACTCTTTCCGAAATTAGTAGAAGCTAGGCCAATGATCCATGAACTGTTAACTGAAGGACGGAGATCGAAGACTAACAAAGCAAAAACCCTTGCTACATGGGCAACAAAAGAACTGAGGAAACTGAAGAACCAAGCTTGGTAAGAGCTTGTCTCCACTGCCCTTTTTCTTCTTCTTTCTTGGGGAGGAGGTACATTTTCTTTAGACTGTTCTGACAAGGGCTTTCTTTAGGTGTTTTGTTTTGTTCTTTTTCCCATATAGTGCTTCTGAGCCAGGCCTTTGTTCCTCAGCCTTGTACTAGTGGAAAGGTCAGGCAGCCAGTCTTTCCTTGAGCCACATTTTTGGTTCCTCATGGTGATAAAGGACAGAACTTACATAACTAGAATTCACTGAAGTCCCCAAATCATTTTGGACCTTAATAAAGTCATCGATAATGGCATTTTCCCAAAATTCTCTTTCTACTCTTTCTTTCTTTCCTCATGTTCTTTTCTTTCTTTACTGCAGTGCTTTGAGAAATTGCTTTCTTTTACAGAAGATATCCAAAGTCGGAGTTGTCTGACCTCTGATTTGAAATGTGGTTTTATTTTCCTCTCAGTGAGTTATCTTACACCACAGATCTCAGTAAAATTGGCTGTTTTGAGTTTTATCTTTTCAGTTTCCTACCCTTCTTAAGTGCTAATGAGAGCAGGTAGATGGCACATAGGAAAATAATAAAAATAATCAGTCCTTGAAAAGTTGACAAATTCCATTCAGGTCTCTAAGCACTTAATTGTAGGAATCAGAGAGGTGTTTGGCTCTACTGGCTATATGGGATTTCAAAAATTGACCTTTTTTCCAATCTGTTTTTAGATCTGTCACCATTGGGATGATAACCTGAGACCCCCACTGGAAATCTCCAATCTTTTGAAAAACCCGGAAGTGAGGAGTGTGCACGGATGCTGAATGTTTGGGAATGAGAGGATGAGTGAGTGAGGCTTGAAAACACACCACATTGAAAATCCTGCCACAGCAGCAGCTGCAGCCATCAACAGCAGCGCTGTTAGTGAGCTAAGTAATCACTGACTTCGTAGAAAACCATAATGTCGGCCATCTTGGAAAAGAGAAAAATGGTGGATTTACTTTAAAAAAAAAAAGAAAGCTCTCTCTTCCCAGGAGAGGCTAGAACTAGCTTTTCTGTCTTTTGGCCGGTGCCGAGTGGAATGACTAGTTTGGGGGAGAGGAGGAGGGGACTGGGTTCAGCTGTGGTGCTTTGTTGTAAAAGGCATCCTGGCCTTTGCTACTGATGAGAAAGATGGAGCCTGGGTCTCAAGCCCACCTTTGGTGTACCTTTGCCACGTGGTACTGGTACTGTATGCGTGCTGGCTGAAAGGAGGGTGAGGGATTCTTTACAGTCTGAGAATGAGTGTGTGTGAGTGAGGCGGTATCCACATTCTCAACTTCAAGTCATTGCAGTTTCTTTTTCCCAGAAAAAAAGAGGTTAGGATGTTGCATTTCATGAAACTAACTGAAGTTCTGTCTACTGATGCAGCACAAGAGATATAAGAGGAAAAGAAAAGGAAAGACGCTCTTAGGTTTTTTTTTTTTTGGGTTTTTTTTTTTTTTTTTTTTTTTTTTTTTTAATTCTAGGGAAAACACTGACGAATGGTCAGAGCTCCCACCCTGATCTTTTCATCAAGACGCCTTTCCTAATAATATGGTTCAACTGTGAATGTAGAAGTGGGGTGGGGGGGAACTCTGGAGTTAGAGGATATAGAAAAAATAAAAATACAGTTGTTACAAATAAAGAATGCAGACTTCGAAAACAAAAGAAAGCCACAACCCAACAAACCAAAATTTAAATGTTCATAATTGGCAGCACAAAAGAAAAGTTCTCTCCTGACATGTATCTTGGCAGTCTGAACGCCCCCAGAAAATTGTGCCAAAGAGTTTAGAAAACAAACATATCATAAAAGTAAACACAAACAGCAAATTTCAGGTAACTATTTTGGATTGCAAACAAGGATAAATTTAATGTTTAAACAATCTGATAAAATAACCATTTGGAAACTGCTTGGCCTTCTGTTCTCTTTTATTTGATTGATTATAATGCGGTATTGGTCTCTTGCTGCACTTCAAAACCAAGTAATCAAAACAGGAATATATATGTGTGTGTGTATATATACACATATATATATATGCTAGAACTCTTGTGATGAAAATGGCACTTGAAAAAGGTTATATTTTTCCACTGAAGTTGAAGATTAATAAAATGGTGTCAAAACATTCCCCTGGTCACACGCTGTAATATTTTTTTTAAAGTGTGATGTGCTATGATAATGATAAATCAGACTTAATTATTTTCCCTTTTACAAGGAAACAGGGCACCCTGAATTTTGGTTTTAGACTCTTTCAGCAATAAGGAGGGATGTTGGTAAGCTTTGATCCCCTTTTGGTTTTGCAGTTATTAGGAGTTTTTGCTGGCATTTTGAATATGCTGCTTTCAAAAGCACCAAGAAAGATTTTAAAATTGCTTCCAGGTATTTGGAGGATTAAAAAGACCTTAATTTCCCACTTTCATTTCCATTCTAGCAAAAAATATGGGCTTACATGTTTCTCTTTGCCAACTCCCTGTTCAAGCCTTCCATTCATAAGCGGGATTGGCTCAGTTTTGCCCATCCATACGGCAGCATCTCTAATAGCTCTTGTACAGGGTATCAGATATTGTGCCTTTTGGTGCCAGGTTCAAAGTCAAGTGCCGATCTATGAACCAGTGTACAAAAAAAAATCCAGGTGTTTGAAGGAAAGACACTCCATTGTGAATAAAGAGCTCACACCAGCTCCTGAGCCCTCTGAACAGACCTGGCCCTATAATGCCTTGTTTAAATTTTAGTTGTTCTTGAGGGAAAGGGTGATATACTAACCATTCCTGATAAGGGTTGGTCAGGGCTTAGGGAGGGGGCAGGAATATTGGGGAGAAAAAAAAATCTGATCATTCCTCAGTGCTACCCATTTCTGTCCTGTGTGGGCTGCTTAGCTAGACAGCAGGAGAATAAAGTACACCGAGAACCATAATGAAAACAAAACCCGTGTGTTTTGTCATGTTTTGTTCCAGGGAAGCAGTTGACAAGTGCTGTTATTAATGCTTTCTCCCAGATCCACTCAGTGATGGAGAGGAGGAAAATGGGCTGGTTGGACTGTGGTCTTGGTGCCTCGCAGTTACTCTGCACTGGTTATGCATTTATTACCCTCTTTTCTAGTTACCTTTGGCTAGTGGGTCTTCCCACTAGGTATTTGTCCTTAATTGTACCACCTAAGGCAAATGGATGCAAAATGCATTCTGCCCACTCACTGTCTGGGCCTTCCCCACTCTAGTCTTGGCACATTCCTTCAAGAATGTAGTTACCGTCTGGTAAGATGTCAGTGCAAATGTAAAGAAAATAGGCATCGGACTAGGCTTTGGTTTGCCACAAGTGGCAGCTGCCTATATCAATTACATTTATTAATTTTGCTTTTCATTTTCCCAGTTCCTCTTAGCTCCCCTGTTGAAATGTTGAGATTTTGGCCGTCAGAGGCAACTGTAACACTGCCTTACGGACTTGTGGAGGCGGGGAACTGCTCAGTGTAGTGTTTTCATTTTCAGAACCAAGTAATCTAGTCACTCATATATAAGAAATGTGTCAGTCCAACTTTAAGAAAAATCCAAATCCAAGCTCCATCATCAGGTTTTGACAGCATCTTGGATTTTGAAACAACTCCAGTCTGTAATTGGCATTCAGAATGCCCTTGGCATGCCAGTCTGTGATGGCAGTAAAGACCTGTTAAAACACTTGAGCCCAACTTTATTAACCAAAACTGATACCACCACCTTTATCTTCTAAATAAAGTCCGCTTTATTTTTATTTTCAACATTTTGCCGCTTCATTTTTGGTTCCAGACGGTGTCACCTCCTTGGAGGTGAAATGAGTTGTTTGAAAGAAGCTGGTGCGTGTGGTGATAGATGTGTGAGTTGGGGAGAGGAAGGACACATCTGTCTTAAAAATTAACTCTACGTAGTACAATGGGAAATGAATGAAAGTCTTCTACGAATGAGGTAGTGAAAAATGACTACGTGGAGGAGGTTTCCTGTCCAGAGAGATCTGAAACTGCTGGAGATTGTCCTCTGTCTTGTGCATATTTTTCAGGCTAATGATCTGGTCTATTTAATGGCTTATCCAAAGGTTGGATTTTTACTTAGTTTGCAGCATGTATTTAATTTCTGCTTCCACTTTTCACCCCCTAGAGACTTGTAGAGGATAGAACAGTGACTTGAGATTAAGAAACTGGGTCCTTTCCTTCACCCTGCTGTTTATTAGTGCAGTGAGATGCCTGCAGGCTACTTTATGAAAAAATGCACTTTCTTAGTTTATGTTGGGCAAGTAAAATGAGGGCAGACCTTCATCTTCCTACCTTAGCCTCCGTGTGGCCTTTCACCATTTCTAATTGCACACCCCTGCAGTAAGGAATTTTTGATCATGCGTACCCCCATGTGTTGATAAATTATATACCTGTACTACTGTACCCATATATTGTGTAATAAGACACAAAAATAGATAATTAAAAAGCAATTATATGAAAAATAAATATAAATAGGAGTTCTAATATTTTCTTTCTGTGCCCAAATTTGGAGATTACTGGGTTATAGAGGGTAACTTGTAATTCTTGACTAGACTCTGTTAAATATTTCTCCACTGAAGGTATACTTAGAGGAAAGAATGGTATCGGTTCATTATCAAATGGTAAGGAAGAACTGCTTCTAAGAATTTTTTTTCCAGCAGTCCTCCAGGTAATTCCCCATTCCCACATACCCGCCTCCTCAACAAACACTGAAAAAGGACATACAGTACAAGGCTACAGTTCCACCTGGCCTCATCAAGGATTCCAGCTTGACCTGTCTGATGTGAAAAACTGTAAACACTGAGAAGATTTTATGTTTTATTATATCTTAATTCCCACAGCAACCTTAACAGAGTTCTGTATAGGGGAAATACAGGAATGAGGAGCAGAAAGATTAATTTACCAGACCAAGGTCACATGGAGCTTGAATTCAAACCCAGTCTGTCATACCAAAACCCAAGCTTTCCTCACATTTGTCCTAGACAGATGCTGTCGGTTCTTAGTAATACAAAACAAGGATCTATGCTGTACATATTTATGCCGTGCCATCCATTTCCTTCACAACACTGTCTAAAGGTATATTTGTTGCTTATTTATTGCCAGTTTTCCCAACTATAATGAAAGCTCCCAAATTTGGTGACCTTGACTGTCTTTCCCCAGCTTAGAGCAGTGCCTGACATATAGTAGACCCTCAGTAAGTATTTGTTGAACTAATGACATGTCTGTACAGTTCAGGGAGTTTCTGAAATGGCATCACTTAGCCTTTGAGGGGCAGAACATCCAGAAACCTGGGAATGGCAGAGCCTCAAGACACTTGGGCACCTAACTCTTAGCCTCCTCGTTTGCTGGATGACTTCAGGCTAGCCTCTTAACCTTGGGTTAACTGGAGGAATGGGAACAGGATTAATCAATAATTAGACATACAGTGTTGACTTTATGCATTACCAGATGCCAGGCTTGTAATAAGCATCTTATACAGGATAATGAAAGTAACCTTCATCAACCCTTTAACAAAAGCACCATTTTAGTCCCAGTTGACAGATGAGGAAGGAGAAGCACAGAAGGGGCAAGAATCTTGCCAAAAGTCACGTGGGCTAGCCAAGCAGTCCCGACTCCATAGGCTGTGCTTGTCCTGCTGGGCTGTTGCAGACTGCTATGCAGGGTTAGAGGATGAGCAGATGAGCCTCTGCTGCCAGCAAGCTTCCAGGTAACAAGCAGGGAGAGCCCTGGATGAAGGGGCTTTGGAATTAAATGGCAAAGTCATTTTGCGGTAATTCTATAGTGACGTCCATTGTTAACCTTTATCAACTATCAGACTCAATTCAAGGATTGGTGGGAGGTGGCATACTTCCCTAAAGCCAACTTTCCTCCCCACTGGGATTTGAATCATCTCCCTGCACTTCTGCTTCATCTTCCCTCTGAGCTAGAAGCTTTTGGGAACCAGGGCTCGGGGGCAGGGTGGATGTTGGTGCCTAGTGGCCCAAAAGGC